CCAAGAACTACATTTTAGTAATTGATACAGCCAGAATCAGTGTCCTGGTGCATTTCTATTGCGCATGGATGAAGAAGTACTTTCTACATGGGAATACATTTCTGGCAGCAGCTGCATGACAAACACTGCATTTGAACAGGACCATGTTAAGGTTCCACTGAGGTTCCAATACAGGAGGGACTCTGATGCAAAGAGATATTGGCATGATCTATTTCTCTAGGTTCTGGGTCCTAAGCCGGTTCTGAAGGAAGGCACTGCTGAGGAAGATATTGTGGCTGATCAGAAGAATGCTATTGCAGCAGTATTGTATAAGGTAATAACCAAAAAATGAGAAGAATTTTACTTGAGGTTGGATGGAGACTCCAGGAAATTGTTCTCTTGTGGGCACCTTCTGAAATCCATTCATCCTCTCCTTCCCCCCAGTGGTGGGATTCAAATATTTTTACCACTGGTTCAGTGGGTGTGGCTTGGTGGGTGCGCTTTGCTCATGTGCGCACACTTTGCGTGTACGCACGTGCCAAACACACACTTTGCGCAGACACAGAGGCGTTCGAACTCACCTCCTTCAAGCCTGCACTCTCCCGGTCGCTTCAGCAGCTGCCGTGCGCCATCTTCTGTGGCACGCAAAGCAGCTGCGCTTCCAATTCAGAGGATCAAGATGAGTACGGGAGCCCAGGTGGGCAGGCAGGCAGGCCCAACAGCAGAGCAGTGGAGAGAACCAGTTCAGTCTCCGCTGCTCATCGCTGCTATCACCTCAGCAGAACCGGTAGAATACCTCCACTGACTTCTCCCTCTTGGAGAGGGAAACCTATTAGCTGGTGGTTGAACATTTGAATTTAAAAATCTAACTATCTGTTTAATCAACTATAATGCCCCAGTATAATCCTACACAGGACATGGTATGCCTTTAAAATGATGGGTAACCACAAATCCATGATGCCACTGGAATGAGAAGGCTTGCTGATGTCTTCCAGGCGGCCCTGCCATACCACAAAACATTAAGCTTACAAGCAAACCTCAACAGAAAATAAACCCAAATGACTTTCTCGGTGTTCAATTTTCAGACTGTGGGTTAGATGTGTGTAAATGCACATTCATCTTGAAGTAAAAATGTGGCGGGGGGTGGGGGATAGCTGTTTTCTATGATTAGCTGAGCCATCTTTGTTTTTTGCTCACTTTTGTTGCATATTTATGATTTCTGGGGGCATTATGAGGACCCCTGGATTATTTCCAAAGGCAGATATGGAGACTGTCAACTCATAAAACATTTCTCTGGTCTTTTAGAATTGCCAACAGAAAGGGAAGGGGGAATAGTGTAGCAGCTGCAAAATCGAAACTGCATTCCATGGATGTTTTCATAGATAGTTTCCAGGTGACCAAAGTTTCTGCCATGCAAAATTCTAACTGGAGAGTATGATTGATGACTCTTGGCTATGGGATGTGTCCCATTGGAGAATATGAATTATGATATACCCAGGGGGTGGGGGAAAACCAGGGTCAAGGGTGACAATGAATGTATCTCAGAGTCAGCTACACTCAGGCAGCACCGGCATGTCTTCTCCTAACAAATCTTCTTTGAGCTTTGAAAATCAGGCTAGAGTCTCATGATTTAAATGGGGGACTACTGGAGCCCTGACAGGTAGAACTTTCTGTGTGGTAGAACTCAATTTCAAGTGAGTGTATTCATATACATAGACTCTGTCCTTTAAAACCATTAAGCCCAGAGACTATAATTGATCTAGTTACAGTATACCACATCGCACTGAGATCTGGAATCCTGACAACATCCCGATCATGATTGCTTAGACCAAAGATTCTTCTGATATAGATTTAGATTTGATATAGATTTGCCTAACCCCCAAATTCTACTATAGCTCTCAGAACTGTTTTCCACACTGATTCTGAGGGTTACTCTTCTGTTACTTCTGTAGAATAAGAAATTAGGGAATGCTACGTGAGGGTGCGGTCTCGCTTCAAAGTGCTTTCTGACCACAATTTTCAGCTGCTAACAACTGGATCAAAGGTTCCATTGAGGTATTTTCCTTTGATATTAAGCTGTTAGAAGTTCTGGATGCATTGATTCAGTTTTAAAATGCTGTCCAGCATGTAGGAAATACAGAATATAGGAAGGAATGGGCTCCATGTTCAGGCATTTTACGCTGACTCCAGGTTAGTGGATGAGAAAATTCTGGCTTTAAAAAAATGCACCATAAAGCTCAAAAGCTGGACATCTACCCTGTGATTATTGGATTCCATTAAGTGTAGTAAATTCTATACTTCTCAATCCTGAGGTTTCTGACATGATGGGAAAAATGAGTCTGACTAAAGTCTCCGAATCCAGTCCATTCCTCCAAGACCAGCTCATTACAGATGACTGTTTCATCCTGGACAACGGGCAGCACGGAAAGATCTTTGTTTGGAAAGGTAATGCCCATCATATGTTGTCTCAGAACTTCTCGGAACCATAAATACAAATATATGCAGTGAAGAGTAGAAGAGTAGTTGAGAAACTTTTACACCAGAAGACAATCTGGTCAATGTTCCCCAGATCATCAGCTTCTATTTATTTATTTTTCTTTCCATCACCACCTTTGACTTCTTTCCTTTCCCTTTTTTTCTTTACAATGATTTCTATGATTGGATAGTGGTTAAGATATTGGACTAGTAATAGGGATGTCCAGATTCAAATCCATCCTCAGTTATTGAAGATCTCTCTCACAGGGAATGGAGGAAAATAAAGGGAGAGGATGCTGTGGGTGCCACCATCTTGAGTAACTGAATGAAAAATGGGACAGGGAGGGAGGAAGGGAAGGAAGGAAGAGATTGCTCTGCCTTTCACCTGCATATAAGCAGATGCACTTATAATTAGGTGGTGGGACATGATAGACATTTCTCTTTTATTGAAAGGACTACCTTGGCTCTTCTAATCCAGTGTTGGCCAAGGTCCCTCTCCCAGCTCTTGTAAATTATCATCCTCCTTCATCTTTATCTGCAGGCCTCAAAGCAAATGAACAAGAACAACAAGCGGCCCTGAAAGTAGCAGAGAACTTCATCTCACAAATGAACTATCCTCAGAACACTCAGGTAAGGATCCCTCAAGCTTGTGCAAACAGTCTTCAAAATACCCAGAAAGTTTTCATAAAAGAATGACACACCTCCACTGACAGGTTCAGAGAAGGTCTAGGATGAAAAGTCTGGAGGAGAACATCAATGTACTGGTGTAACTCAAACATCTGAAGGGTTCTCAAAGAGAAGTGGAGAAGGATTTGTTCGCTGCTTCCTTTAGTCTTCTCCATGTCTCACCTGCTTTTAATCTGGTTCCAGGTACAGATCCTGCCCCAAGGCCGTGAAAGTCTGCTCTTCAAACAATTCTTTACAAACTGGAAGTGAAAGCTTATGCTGGCAGTTCTCTGTGATTGTGCCTTTTTGCCCCATCAACCATCAAGCCTTATTAAATCGGAGTCCCTGTATCCTCATTGCCTCCTGCTTTTGACCAAACCCCTTTAATCAGCAGCTCTGTATCCGAACCATGGACTGTTTCCCTACTTCAGTCTTCAGTATTGTGATAACAGTAGTAGGGCAACCTTAACTAGAGAGATCCTCCCTCTTAATTTTTTGAATCAGTTCCTCCCAATTGTAAGCCTCTTTCTTACAATGTCTAGAATATGATAAGTAATGTAACATTCTCATCTCTACTGGAAACAGAACATTTTGATGCAAGTTAAGGAAAGTCTGTGGCTGGGTTGACACATTGCACTGAACCAAAACCAAACCAGTCACGTTTATAGGGTGCAAACCTAACCTTACACAAAATGTGCTGATTATTACTATCTAATGATAGCTTTACTTCCTTGCTTGCCTCCTTCGCTGTATTCAGTGCCTTGAGTCATACCTTTTACTGAATTATACTTTTCCTGTTTTCACATAATATATTGAATCAGAAACTAAAGAGACCAGGTTTGACCCAATCAACTCTGCTCTAATCCTAACCAAGTTTAACATTTTGTTTGAACACACCTGTCAGGTTAGATGTGTTGTGCAAACATAGCCAATGGGGTTTTTCATCACTAGTGACAGCTTGCAATAAATCATTCTAAGAACACCCAGAATTGTATAATTTCATGCTGGTTTTAATAACGTTCCTCCTTTTCCCATGACTTTCTGGGAAAAGACATTTTGTGTCTTTCTTCCCAGCTGGAACCCAGGGACACCCCCCCACCATCAACCTGGGTGGGACAAGAAAGATGAGTAGCAAGGGAGGCAGATGTCCTGCAGGGAGTCTGTGCGTATCCTTTTGGCCGGAAGCAAGGACCGAAACTTGTCTAGTCTCAGACATGTTAAGTTGCCATTCAAGATCTATCGAAAGTTGCCTGGTAGGTTGGATCTGACTCCATCTGTCTTAAAACAGCAAAGGCCATGCTCTTCTCCCCCCTCTAGGCATTCTTAATCTTTCAGTCATCTCTCTTTCTCTTTCTAGTTATAGGCTGCAGTGAAGCTTTCTTGATTAGCTTGACAGGCCCTGACAAGCAAGATTGCATCATTCCACAGCTGCGCTGATGGAGTCAGTGTCAAAAGCAGCAGTTCTTTCCTGCCCCTGCCAGAAATTTTTTTTTTAAAAATGGGGGAGGAAAGACTCACTGCTTCCTTTCCGAAACAGCAAATCAGATCATCTTTTGCTCAGGGAGAACTTTTACAGCATAAAATGAACTGACCAATTAGGGAGCAGATATCTTTGGTTCCTTCTATAAAAAAAAAAGAGCTCCATATTTTCCATTTCCTAGAGTCTACTAAAGCTCTTTTGTCTTGTGGTTGGACATTCTAATAACTTAGTGTCCAACTCCCAAGTCCTTCATAATTTTATACAGACATTGCAATTTGAAGCACATGTTCCTATTGCTCCATATGTTAGGACTTTGATACCGTCCTGTTCTAGCAAAGTGAGGCCACCACTCCTTGAAGGATGGGCAACCTCAGCCTGCATCTCAAGGGCTTGTCACTCTCTTTTTGTCTGGCCACAGGTGTCCAGTGTGATCATCTGAGATAGTGCCTCCACTCGTGCTCAGAGAGAAACACATAGCGTAATCCCAGGTCAATATTCCTCACCCGTGCTAGGCAAGTCCTTGCAGTGTCAGGAGAGCCCAGGGCAAAACACTGAGCAAAGTGGAAGAAATGGCACAAAAAGCAGCACAAAAACATACACGTTCCTCAATTTTCAGCTGAGGGCCTCGGAAGTTGGGTGGAAGATTCACTCCCAGTGAAGGGCTAGTAGGCCTTATCCGGAGAGCTTCGACGGTGCAATCCAGCCAATCGGTGGCAATGGAACGAGGGTATCCTGCTTGGAGTTGCAGGGTCTCCTGGTCAAACTTCCAATACTGTTGGCCCTTAAAAACATACAGCGTTCCTGCAGAAGGACAGAGAAGTGACAGCAGCAATAGATTGACGCAAAGTTGCAGAAGACCAAGAAATGTCCCTGGAATAATACACAGTACGGGATGGTTTGGAGCAGAAGTGATACAGGTAGTCCTCAACTTACTACCATAGTAGATCCCAACATTTGTTGCTAAGTGAGACAGTTGTTAAGTGAAGTTTGCCCCCCTTTTGCGACCGTTCTTGCTGCAGTTGTTAAGTTAGTGACACAGTTGTTAAGTGAATCTGGTTTCCCCATTGACTATGCTGCTTAGAAGGTCACAAAATATGACCCCAGGACTCTGCAGCCGTCATAAAAATGAGTCAGTTGCCTAGCATCTGAATTTTCATCACATGACCATGGACATGCTACAAAGGTTGTAGATGTAAAAAACTTTTTAGTGCCCTTGTAAGTTCTAACGATCACTAAATCAACTGTTGTAAGACTAGGATTACTTGCATTGCATCATAAATAGAAATGTGGTTGCTTCAATGTCCAATATTCCAGCTGAGAATGCTATAGTCCGAACAAGAACCGAGCACATTCAGTGGCCACCAGAAGTGGCCTTCAGCAGATTCTGACCAGTTCTGGAGAACCGGTAGTGGAAATTTTGAGTAGTTTGGAAAACCTGCAAATCCCACCTCTGACTGGAGATTTTACAGTATTCTTCCCTTGCCAAGCCCACCAAGCCACGCCCACAGAACCGGTAGTAAACAAATTTGAATCCCACCACTGGTGGCCACGGAAGGTTGTTAGCTGCGCATTAGCAGACAGGGAGAAAAGTGAGAGTAAAATGGAACGGAGGGCGTTATTCTGACTATTGTCCATCCTTGGACAATATGAAGCAGCTTCTGCCTCTTGGAATAAAGTGATGACTAGGAAAAAACTGATAGCCAGAAGAAAGGTTAGATTTAGTGGACAAGCTAGTCTTCTAAATTCAGGTGTATCCCTACTACAGGTAGTCTTCTGCTTGCAGCCATTCATTTAGTGATTGTTTGAAGTTACTATGCCACTGAAGAAGGTGACTCACAACGGGCCCTTGCCCATACAGCTGTCCCAGCATCCCCCTGGTCATGTGATCAAAATCCAGGTGCTTGGCAACCAGCATGTATTTACAATGATTTGCAGGACTATGAGATTTGTGACCTGCCCAGAGGGTGTCCAACAAGCAAAGTTATTGGGGGAAGCTGAGTTCACTTAATGACCACGTGAGTCACATAACAACCATGACAAAAAAAAAAGATTGTAAAACCCAGTGTGACTCACTGAAAAACCACCTTGTTTAGCCATGGAAATTCTGGTTCTAATGGTGGTTGAAAGTCAAGGACTACCTGTAGCAGTAACTCCATAAAGAAGCATCTAGAAAGGTTTGGCAAAAAGAAGGGGACCCCTTAAGCTTTTTTTTTAACCAGCCGCTATTCAAACTCTGATTATCAGAGATGGGCTGGAGAAACCACTACAGTTTTTTGGGCAAAGGTTTTCAGAAGTGGTTTGCCATGGCTTGCTTCCTAGGTGTCCTTCCTGGCCTTCTGTTACAGACCCGTCACATCCTGGACATGAACTGTTTCAACTCCTTCCCTCAAAACGACGCTATAGGGCATTGCACACTAGAATAACTAGACGCAAGGACAGTTTTTTTGCTGAACGGCATCACTCTGCTAAGCAAATAATTCCCTCAACACTGTCCAACTATTTACAAAGTCTGCATTACAATTACGGTTAATCTTCTCATCACTCCTTATCGCCCATCTCCTCCCACTTGTGACTGCATGACTGTAACTCTGTCGCTTGTATCCTAATGATTTTTATTGACTGTTTCCTCATATGATTTGATTGCTTATTGTACCCTATGACTATCATTAAGTGTTGTACCTGATGATTCTTGACTCTTGATGAATGTATCTTTTCTTTTATGTACACTGAGAGCATTTGCACCAAGACAAATTCCTTGTGTGTCCAATCACACTTGGCCAATAAAAGAATTCTATTCTATTCTATTAAATGGGTGCTTTAGCACTGGCCACACCAGCACCCAAATTGCTTTGTGGTGATGCTCAAAATATGCCTCCAAATGTATCCACCAACCGCTGATGATAAATCATGTTTCACCCCTATCTGCAAATCAGGGCCTTTTATTTAATGGGATGTTCCTTGGAGTGCCTTTTGTGCAAAAGACCTGTCTGTCCTGCACTTCTTGAAAGGACAGGGTAGACTGGAGAGCCTGGTGGCATTCCAGAATTCCCAGGTGCTCAGAACAACATGCAATGAAGCATCTAAGTCAGCCTAAGTTCAGCTTGGGGGCCACAGCCCAACTCACCATCGCTTTCACTCAAGACAGAGTCAACAGAGGAGGAGAACTGCTTCCAGGATTCCTGGAGGAGAGGGGAGGCTTCCTCTATGTGTCTTGTGGTCTCATCATAGCACCAGTGAAGGTCGCCCTTGAAGAAATAGGTTTTCTGGTCTGAAGGCCAGGAGAAAGCACCACTGATGCCCCCTTGGGGCAAACCAAAGTCCGTGATTGGCCGAGGATAACCCTCCTCCACACCATTGTCCTTGAACACCCAGTAGAGGGGTCCTTGAGTAAGAAAAGGAGAGAGAGAGAAAGAGGACGGTATGAAAAACAGAAATAACTTGTTATTGAAACCATTAATTCAGGATTACCTGCCCCATGAAATGGAAACTTGAAATCATCTCCCTTAATGCCACCAGGCTCCTGGCCTCACCTGATTTATTTTAAATAACAAAAACGAGAGGGAGATAACAAGCACGTCACAAAATCAGCCTAGCATCTTCATCTCTAGAATTGTTCCCAAGCTTGATGCTTTTTGGCACTATGGCCCTCGCCTCTCAGAAGTCTCTGCATTACCTGGTGGGCTGAAGTCCTGTTTCTGGAGAAACAGTATGGAAATATGCTCATTTGTCTCAAATGAGATGGGACACATAGATAGCATCTGGGGAGTTGAGGGAGCGGATAAATCTTTTGGTTTAGAGCAGCAAATAGTTGAAATTGAGGTGATGAATTGGAAGATGGTCCTGGTAATTTGCTGGTGTGCAGTGCCAATTCAAGGGTATTTGGTACTCCTCACCTCCCACTGATACAAAGATTTTCATTTTTATAAGGATTTGAAAGGGGGGCAGCAGCACTGGAGCCCCTTATTGGTGGACTTCTCAATGGTGCTGATTGACCAGGCTTTAGTCAAAGGTTGCTGGGCAGAGTACAGTTAGTCTTTGACTTACAACCACAATTGAGCCTGCAATTACGGTTGTACATCATGATGGTCCTTAAGCAGATGTGCCCACTTTTATGACCTTTTTTGTGGCAGTTGTTAAATGAATGCAGCAGTTATAAAGCAAGTCCATTGTTTGCTATAGAAATTTTTTTTTTGCCTGAAATCAAAAGCAAACCCCAGTTTCTCACAAAACATATTGCAAATCGGGGTCACATGATTACAGGACACTGCAAACAGATGGATTATTACTAATTGTTTTTGAGGAAACCATCTCTCCTAATTTCAAAAGGCCACTAAGCCACCAATGGTAAGTCAAGGACTACTTGCATGTGAGATGAAACAACAAATCACTTCTTATTCTGCAGGTTTTTGTCTGGGCCTGCAGTTGATTATAAAGAGGATGGGTGTGTATTTTGTGTCTGGAAACCACACTAACTGCTTTAAAGTAATTAAATAAGACCGCTTCTTCTGTGCTTGGTCCTACACTCCGTACATCTGCCACGGCTATTGGCTCAAAAACACATCACATTTTAGTGGAGCAGGATGTCCTTCTGCCTTTGTCCAGCTCACTTTTCACTTGTGATCTTCTCACCACTGAAGAAGAGGATGCGATGATCTGTAGGTCTCTCATAAACAGCATCCACTTTGTGGAGGGCAGAAGGAAGTCCTCGCCAGAAACGAGTGGTCAGAGCTGGTTGGGGAGAAGTGAGATGGCGGCTTTGGGACAAGCGCCAGAAGTACTCATCTGCCACCAGTGCAGGAATAGAAAAAAGAAAAAGATTAGTTTCTGTGATGACACGGGGCGTGGCACAAAGACAACACAGTCACATAAATAAGAGGAGTCCCTTTAGTAACTCCAACTTTGCCCCCAATGTCCAGCTACCTTTGGCTGGAGAAAAAACTCTCCCAAGAACAGTCTTTAAGTGGAGGAAATTCAGTTCGAAAACAAAGTACAAATAAACTATAAATAAAAATCCACACAAACCACGCTGCAGCAACTAACTGGACAGGGCAGGATAAGGAATTGCAGACTTCAAAAGCCAACAAAACACACACAATTGGGAACCCAGATAAGCTTTGACACTAAAAGATAGCTCACAATTTGCTTCCAACAAGTTGCTGTGTGCAAACTCCCTTTTTAAACACTGTGTTCTCAGCTGCAGCTAATGAAGAGAATCAGGGCCCTTTCCTCCCCTGTAAGCCACGCAACTCACGTTACTCCCTTCTCCGTTCCTCCCTGCGTGCCCTAGGATGAAGAAAGGGTGGGCCTGGATCTTTCTCCAAATTCCCTCTGCCTTGCTCTACTTCTCCCCTGCTTTGCCCAGATGGACTGTGCCCTTCTCCAGTTTCTTCCACAGCCAATGGAGCCACACTCCCACTCCCCATCAGCTGCTCAGCCTCTCCCTCAGAACCAGATTCCGACAAGGGCATGACATTTTCCATCTCAAAGGGGGCTCTCTTTCCTGGCAGGTGTTTTGGGACGTGACATGAATGAACATGAGCCTCTTGAAGGCATTCAAAAAGGATAAGAAGAATTAAAAAATAATGATCAAAGGAACTAGAAAGACAGAATGTTTGGGGCTTCTTTTAAAAAAAGCAAGTAAGCGAAGACAAGATTGAAGTTTATAAAAAGTATGTATGATATGGAGGAAGGGGTTTTGCCCTGCCTGTTAATACTGGAATTTTTACCCAATTAAAAAAGAGGAGGCTGACTCTGAATCTGGGTCTCTTGACTGTGTGCCCAATAGCCCCCACCCCCCACAACAGAACAGCACTCCAGCCTCTTTTGTGCACCCTGGGCGGAATGCTTTGTCTTCAAGGTAACTAACCTTTGAAAAAGAACGTTTCCCCTCGGATCTGAGCAACAGCATCGATGTTGGAGGTACATCGGTCAGGAAATCCTTTTCCTAGTCTGGAACAAGGATATTGGGGGGAAAAACAACAACTCAGCCAGTGGGGCTCCTAAAAGCTGCCTTGGTTTCATTTGAGATGGAAAAGGAGGTGTGAAAATATGTACATTCTACCCCAATGTAGCAATGTGCATTGTCTTTTTATGAAGTAGATTTTGAGCATATCCATTAAATCTCCCTCTGGATAAACCAGGGCAGAATACGTGAAAAGCACATCCCCATACATCATGTCCTTACTCCAATACTGAATCAGGCTGAGTGGCAGAAGTTATTTCTATACCTCACCTCACTCATTTGACTAGTTCCCTCTTTTATTCAAAGTGCTTTGGGTTCAACTGCTTCAGACCATGATTTAATAGCCAGGCTTACTCTGGTATTATTAACCAGGTTTTGGCCACAAAATATGTTTAATGCTGGTTTTCCTAGTTTATTTGTCATCATGGATGGAAAAACAAAATCCTCTTTCGGTAGTCAGAATACCTTACTTACACCTTGTCTTATTAAGAAGAAATATCAAAATCAAAATAGGGTCCTATGTCCAGTTTATAAATGCCTTTGTGAGCTCCATGGCTAAATTGGGATTATAACCTGATTTCTTCAGTCTTAAATTTTAATCTAATATTATGCTATCGTTGCATAATAAAGTGGCATTTGCTTAAATATAAACTGCTTTATCAGACAAAGACTGAAATTACTATATTAACAATGATAAGAAGTGTTATTTATAAATAAGGACTTTATTGTTACCTCTTAATCTCTGCAAATTAGCCTAAAATTAACTGTAGTAAAACAAATTTGAGGCAAAGAATTGTAACGTTAGTGCATACAGTCACAGAATTGTAAAATATCTGAGATACAGGGAAATGGCGCATACATTGTGGTTTCTAAATTATGACTGATTTAGGACTTAGTGTGCTGTCTAAAACCAGATAATTGTTGTTTGTTCAATAGATCGTGGTCATGATGCATCTTTCTGTAGAATCTTTTACCTAATGCTGCAGAGGTGCCAAAGCTGGGATCATCCAACAGATCCGTGCAGAGGCTATCAAAAATATACCTTCACAAATTACCCTTCACTAATTTTCACAAAAATTACCCTTCACAAATGAACAATATCAAGACTGTCATCTAACCTGAGGGGAGGGAAATTCTGTGATAAGGAGAGAAGGCCTGGCAATGGAGTGGTTACGTCCTGCTTCTCTGTAGAATGAAAAACTTTATTCCCTGGTTAAAAAAGGAGAGAAACAAAAAAATGTATGAAGAGAAACGAAGAATGTTGGTAGCATACATTGCAGAAAATGGGAATAGAGAGTCCAGACAAATGTAGAAAAGAAGGCCAATGCAAATTAGACTGAAGGCTATTGAACTGCCGCCCACATACACACACAAACACACAGTCCATCACTAAAAGTTTCAGAACTGATAGTGGCACGTTTGCATATAGTGATGAGCCACTGTCTGTTTGAATGTTTGATTCTACAGAAAATATGGGAGCTTGATTGATTGACCTTACAAACAATCCTGATAATGAATATGAATATTATTCATTATATTACTACATAAATAATTATTATATGAATCAAGGATATTAAAATAATGAATTTAAATTAAAAGTAGGGGGGAAAGAACCACACAGTTCTTATTCACTATTTCACATCTACAGATTAAAGAATGGGTTGGACACACAAACCAATACCTTCAGAGTTAGCTATTCTAAGATTTTTAAAAAGATTTTAATTGCAGTACATCTCCTTTATCTGGTCTTTAACATAGCTCTTAGATGTCAAGCCTGTCGCTGGTGGATATTAATAGGAATTGAAGTCCATTGCATCTACTGGACCAAGTTGAGAAAGTTTGGCTGATCCAAAGGACTCAGGCAAGGTCTTAACTCAGAAGACAGAATGTCAGATTTGAAAGGGACCTTAGAGGTTTCTAGTCCAACCCCCTGCTCAAGGAGGAGAATCTGTATTATTTCAGACAAATGATTGTCCAATCTCTTCTTAAAAGCCTCCAGTGTTGAAGTACCTGCAACTTCTGGAGGCAAAAATTCCACTGGTTAATTATTGTTAGGAAATTTGTCCTTAGTTTTAGGTTGGTTCTGTCCTCGATTAGTTTCCATCCATTGCTTCTTGTTCTGCCTTCAGGTGCTTTGGAGAACAGCTTCCCCCCCCCCCAGCAATGTTTATTTATGATCCCATATTGTTGCACTTACCGTAAAGCTTCTGGATTTCAGCATGATCCTCTATGTGCAACTGGTATTGCAATGGGTCTCCTACTGGTCCCTGGTAATATGGGTGCATGATTGAGTGCTTGGAAGATGAATGTGCTAAGCCAAGACTGTGCCCAAACTCATGAATGGCTACAGCAAAAAGGTCGGTGCCAAAGTCATCTATCAAACAGTAAAAATCACTGGTTGAATGATCTGGACTGAGTCTACAAAGCGAGACAATGAATCACAAATGCACAGAACAGAATCAAAAAGACAGCAAAAATATCATCCTGTCCAGTAATCTCCTATAAGGTAATGTATCCACCCTTTGTTGAATCTTTATGGCATCTTGAGAGCTGTGATCAATGCTCAGTCCAGATTAGAATGAAAAGTACCTATGGATAATGGCTGCCTCCTCTTAAAATGGTTCATCTCCTTCCTTTGTTTTTTCTTGAAATCATTTCACTTCTCATCCAAGAAACTTCTTCAGTTTTTGGATGCTCACCCAAGAAGCTGAAGAAACTTCTTGGATGAGAAGCAAAACATCTTCAAGGAAAAACAAAGAAATTCTAGTTGCCTTTTGAAAAAGCACTTTGAGGCAACTTTGACCTGGATGACTGAGAATCTCCATAGACATTCCTCTCCTACAATTCTCAAACTTTAGCCATCAGGTACCCCAGAGCAGAGAATTGGATTTGCCCTAAAAGTTGAATCTAGGTCTTCATCCTAGATAATGGGACCAGGTTGCATCATAGAGTGAATCTTTGGATACAGGGCAACATCTCAGCCTGCTTAGTAGATTGAGGAAAACTCAAATGGGCCAGACTAGCAGGATTATTTTATTTTTATTTTTCCAATACTGGCTTCCACCAAATCTTCCCCACATGAAATCAGAAGGACAAATTCTTCTTGGTTATGGTGAAAGTCTTAGAGTGCTGTAAAAAGATGAAATAATGGGAATAAACCCATGATCATGATCAGAGGGGGAAAAAATTTTTCTCGGTTGAGGTAGACGTTAGGGGCTCTACTTGGGAAGCTTGACAAAACAATGAAAAATCCCTGTGATAGAAGAACCACTTCATAAAATGCATTAGGGAATGTATATGTTGAATTTACTGTGCTTTTTTTGTTTGATGGTTGCCCTACTTCTATGTCACAACTTTAGCAAAGCCTCCTTCTCCTCAGGTTCATTGTAGCTCGTTTTGGGCATTCAGTTGAACCCATAGAGAGGTCAGCATGGGGGAAGAAAAGTACATGCAGCCTTCAGGTCACTCAGAGGGTGTACTCACATTCAAGGGAAGTATAGTTGACCTTCAGACCTTTAGATAAAAGTGGGGTAACAAGAGAAGACAAGGGCAGGATTCTATGCATGGCCCCATTCTGCATCCAATGTGAGCCTTCCAGGGAAACATCTGAACAGGTTTACAGTTCTTAACTACTCCACTACTCCTGAAAATCAAATCACCTGGTGAGCGGAAAGTCCATTCTTCATCCCCATCAAAATGGACAGTGCCAGCCCTCTGTGGGTCTCTGGGAAAGAAAGCATGGGCCACCATCCCACCAGGTCCATCAAAAGGATAACTGTCATGGTGATCCAACTGGAGGAACTCCACAGAGATGTCAGCAGTGTGGCCGCCAACCTCATGAAAGGTTAATGGTATAGCTTCACTCCAAACCTTTAGGGCATAATAGATCAATACTCGCATCGTATCTCGGCTGAGACGAGCTCTTTGGGGGTAGCTCTTCACCCTATGGGAAAAATAAAATGTGCAGGTGAAAGCAACAAGAATATCATTTGCTTTCCTAAAGCATACTAAATTTGGCTTGCTTTGAAATTTAGTTTTGGGGGGGACTGAGGATGTAGTGTTAACCTAGGACATTTGCTTCATTTATGGTGAAGGGCATTCTGCAAATGCGGAAAACTGGTTTCCTCAAAAACCTTTTAATCATGCTGTGCCACTTTGGTGGTGTAGTCAAAATACTGGATTGGATCCTAAACCAGGCTTAATGAAACACAATTCCTGGCTTCACATAACAGACTACCTCCAAAACAAATAGACTTTATAATGGCTTAACACAATGCCCAGGTTCACTTAGCTGGCAGACTCCATTGCTAGGTTCATCTAACCACAATAAACCAGAAGCTCTCCATTTCCATGTTCGCCTAGTTTTCTGAACGCTGGCACTGAATGACGGTGTTTGTACAAGGTACAATTCTTTTCTCAATCTAATTTCCTACCAAGTTAGTGTTTCCCAACCGTGGCAACTTTAAGATGGGACTTCAACTCCAGTATGCTGACAGTTGGAGTCCACCCTTCTTAAAGTTGTCAAGGTTGAGAAACATTGCATTAAGCCTACATGTGGATACCTACTTCCAGGAGATGTTTCTTTTGGTCCAAATTGAACCAGCACTGCGCCTCTCCAGACTTCTTCTCCTTTGCCACCTCTTCTTCCTTGCACGCTCTTTTAAAGAAAGCTCTGAGGGGAAGTTGGGGGTAATATCAGGCAAGGCACAGCGAGGCATCCGGATCAGACTCAGTGTGGCATTATCTGCAACAATTCAAGGGAAGAGAGAGAGTAAAAACCCCAGAAAAATTTAAACGTTCGGTCCTTGCCCTGTGTTTCTCAACTTGTTTTGCCTCAATTTCTTGGAAACAGGCAATTCTGGGGCCAGTTTTACTAGCAGAATGGCTTAAACCTAAATCTCTGATGGCATCAAAGGGTCTTTTGACCTGAAATGAACTGATTCTGCAGAGTCGCCTCCTATCATGAGATGGGTGGCATATAAATTTAATTAATAATAAATCTGAAAATTAAAGCAGTATGTGAAACATGAACCCTAGTCCTAGCTGAGACATTAATACTACACCCCATGTAGTCACAGCTAGCAAAGATATATATTTCCTAACAGAATAATGCAGATAATTTTTTCTCGATAGTTTCCCTCATTTTATTTCATTTTAGAATCCACTTGGGAAAACAAACTGTTGTAATTTTGTCTAGAAGCATAAATTCCATACTCCTGTAGTCTTCTTCACTGAAGATATTCAAGAAATGCCTGGGTCTCTGAAGGATGCTACGGTAGCATCTTTCATTGAAGTTCAGAGAGTTGGACTGTCCTCTCTCATTTATGGGTTGAGAGAAATATCCATTGCAAAACCATGGCTCCCCAGGGAGAACAAGCAAGATACTAGCATCTCTCAGTTTTATTATACCTAGAATCCCAGTTTCTGCAATGCCAGCAAAATGTTGCATCACACGAAGGGCTGTTGTCACAGCTTCCCAGGTTTGTAGTTGGCCTGTAGTAGGATCTGCTGGTGGAAGGTATCCATAATGGATTAACCACTCCTAAACAAAGAGGATCAATAGAAAACATGAGGTGCTATAGTCCTTACCTTTCCTCCTGAGAATTATAAATTTCTTAAACTGGGCCTCTCTAAACTAATTTGTTCCTGTTGTATATTGCTTCTTTGCCTACGCAGAAGAAAAACCACTAAATTCAGTGGGGCCAATTCTCAAATACCTAGCTACAAAATTGCAGAGTCTGCATTTTGCCAAAGCCCTGAAAGATTCAGCCAGATTTTTGGAATGCTTGTCTGTACCAAGTTGCTGATTTTTCATTTCTTAGAGTTTCCATTTAATTTGTGAAATGCATTTAACTTTATTAAACAACTGAGCTTTTAATTTGTTTTTAAGATGCTCTCGGAGAAGAAAAATCTCACTACTTTTCATGAAAGCCAACTCTCTAACTTGGTGATTCTTAATCCCAGCAACTTTAAGAGAGATGGACTTCAGTTTCCAGAATTCCCTAGAAAGTCTGTCGTTTAGGGAATTCTGGGAGTTGAAGTCCATATTTAAAGTTGCTGAGGTTGAGAAACACTAGTTTAATCAATGTCCTCAAACCAGCCGGAGAAGAGATGCAGCACAGAACTGTCTTGGCTTTCTCACTTTGTAGGAGCACCCGTCTTCTTTTCTCAACCTTGACACCTTAAAAATGTATGGACTTCAACCCCTGCAGCTGGGTGGGGAATGCTGGGAGTTGAACTCCACACATCTTAAAGTTTCCACGGTTGGGAAACCCCCTCTTAGATGTTACAACTCCCCAGTTTTCAGTCCCTTAGGTTTGAGTCACTTCAGGTTTGACTTACGATGACTTCTCCGCTCTCAGGGGTGGGCATGGGAGCAGGACTGAGGCAGGTGGAGAAAGATGGCAGCAGCAGACAGAAGAGAAGCCAGTGTAGAAAGATGGCAGGTGACTTCCTCCTTTGCTTTTCCTCCAGGTGACGCTGCTGAGGCCGTCTGTGATATTTCTCAGGAAAACAGACTTTTCCAGCCTCCATCCAGGTGCTACTCACTGTTTTGGTGAGTTCACCACTTCTTCCAATTCTGGACAAAAAAAAAAAAAAGATTCCTTTTTTTCTGCAACCCAGCTAAGCTGGTTTATTTTATCTGGGGGGGAAACAAACTCCAGATACAGAATGAGATCAAGGAAGGTTCCATAAATTGGTATTATTTTATATTTGATCCAAAACTTCTATCATATCACTAGCCACTGAGGAAATGGCAAAAATAAGTGAGAACTTTCCTAACTAATCATTTGACAAATATATGAAGTTTGATTAGATCTTCTTCCTAGCAAGATCTTTCTTGAAACCCATCCCCACTAACATTTACTTCTATTTTATCTAAGGAATTCAGCTTGGCAGAGGCAAGCCAGCGATGCAGTGGTTAAGGTACTTCCCTAGAAACCAGGAGACGGTGAGTTTTAGTCCCACCTTAGGCATCAAAGATGGCTGGGTGACCTTGGGTCAATCACTACCCACCATTTTGACTTTGTTGACCCCGTTCTGCAAACCCTTCTGCAGATCTTCAACAAGCTCTCTTAATATGAGCACATTTAAGTTCTTTCCAGTTGATTTCCTATGACTAGAGTGGCAGAGAAATCCTTGTCAGCAAAGCAAATGAAAAGAAACAGATAATCTGAAAGAAAGAAAAATGGCTGAAGTGCAAGGCCATTTACTCGGATATTTGCTTTACCAGTCAGCCAATGCATGACGTACTATCCAGCATAAGGATTGTTGGCACCTTTTGAGTGAAAACATTGCTGCCAGAAAACACAAATACTCAGCTTCAGCTTTAGCAACATCCATCTTCCACACTTTCTACTATCTGTGAAATATGTGCTAGAAACCATTTAATTATGATCAGGAACAAAGCCTCAATACTGAAGTTTCTCCAGAGAATATCCAGCTACCTCTTCTTCTACTTTTTACAGAGTATATCTCTGAATCCAATCTGCCAGTCACTCATCATGTCCTATTTTGCCAGTTACTGTCGTTCCCAGCTCAGTTGAACCCAGAAGAAACAGGGAGTAAAGTAGCCAGTTACTACAGACGAGAAAATACTTGCTCATCCACTCCATACAATTTTTTTCAGAAAGGACTTGCCCTTGCCTTCTTCCCAGGGTTGAAAGAGGGTAGCTGGCCCAAAGTCAGCCAGCTGGACTTTCTGCCCAGGGCAGGAATAGAACTCATGGTCTCTTGGTGTCTAGCCTGGTGCCTGAATCACAACAACAAATGATCTGCCTTAGAAATTATTACTACTTTTCAAATAAAAATAGGTATTGGGGAAGATAGTGACTCACTGTAGGTTCAATTAGTCTACTAAGAGGCAGGTCTCAGTCATAATAGCTGAAATAATTCTGTGGGGTGAAACCTAGAGAGCCTTCTCTTTAGACCAACTTTTGATAGATGGATGGCTAACTTGCAACAGGAATGTCTATGGGGTAGGGGGGTTGGGTGGGAGTGAGATGCCCAGCTTGTGCATTAGCAGCTCATCTCTTTCAGGAGCATGTAGAAAAGGGGGGGGGGGTTGAATCTTGCAGGTGGTATCTTGAATCTTTTACTTTAGATTCTTTTTAATTCCAGGCAGTCTCCTCCCTCTTCCAGATCCTGCCCTTATTCTTTTTCTGCTTATGAAAAAGAAAATTTTTAATGTCCAGAAATCTTTATTATCCCTTTGGCATTTTGTTTTATTTTCAGCTTAATTGCCTATTGATGTCAAGGTGGATTTTTCTGATTTCTTATTTAAGTCTCTTAGTTGTCAGTATAGGGAAGGAGAGAGAAGGAAAAAAAGCCAAGCCTTTCCCTTTTCACTTTCCTTCACTGCTTCTGACTCTTTTTTAGGAGCGACGTTATTTTTTGTAAGTTTAAATTCCAGGGTACCTTATTTGTTGTTTTTACAATTTAACCCGGTCAGCCAAAACTTTCACTTCTTATCTTCCTCCTGCACATTATTTTCTGATCGAGTTCTTCTTTGTGGTGGCTATTTCTGACCACCGCTGCAACCGCCTTCGGGAAAGTAGTGGCCAGCTGAGGAGGAGAGATGCGGCTCTCCTCAACCCTGCTGGTGGTCTCCCCCGTCTTCACCACCTCTATGGGGTGGCTTAGCCCCGAAACCAGCTGGCTCGGGGCGCTCCAGCAGCGAGCCCAGACAGAAACCGCACACGATCACGAATTTATGTCTGTCGCTGAAGCCCTTCAAACCGGAAGTCAGGTGGTATCTTGAATCTTTTGTGACCTGTCCCTCCCCACCATGGACATCCCTGCTTTATAGGGATTTTGTTGTGGGGGGGTAGGGAGAAGGGGAAGAGCTATGTACCATGGCTTTGTGGAGGGAAGAGAAAGGGGAGGAGGAAAGGGAAGGGAAGGAAAAAGGGAAAGGAAAGGAGAATGAAGTTTACAAAGACAGGAATTCTATAACTCTGTTGTAGGCATCAGAGGTACTATAGATTTAAATTCAGTGCCATTCCTGCCCTCTGGGAAACAATCTCTGAGAGCCAATTCTTTGTAAAATATACAGGCTCCACATTCTCAATTTTCTGTGACAAAAAAGGAGACTTAAAACTTCTATGACAAAAAAGGAGACTTAAAACTGTCACTTTAGTGATTGGAACACCTCATTCATCAACTGTGCCCAAACATCCCATCTGTGCTCTTGTATTGCTCTTTGCTAGAGAGGCTGCTGTGTTAAAAGAGGCTCAGGGATGTCGGTCCGGCTACCTTCCAGGGGAAGAGAACCGATCGGCATCCCTCAAACCCGTATCAGTCTTTAATGCCTGTCACTGTCATTCTGACTTTCCAAGTCCATACATTTTGCAATCACTCTAAGGCACAAAATGATATACAGCATGTCTCCTTTGGGTTTAACCCAACAAGCAGACAGAAATTATCTAGTCTGCTTTTTTTTTTAAATGTACAAATGAGCTTTTTTTAAAAAAAAAGACCATTTTGCTTACATTTCAACAAGACTCCGTTCCCCTTGTCCCCTTCTCTCTGGTTTCTGAAGTGCCTCTCTCATTTCTAGGAAGGCTGGAAATTACAAGGAAGGTGGGAAGGTGATGTCCTCCCATTTTTGGCTTTGAAGAAGTGGGGGGGGGCTCCTACTTACCTGTCCAAATGTCCCCCAAAGAGCAAGTCCTGAAGGATCCCCAAGAGCAGCTTTGCTCCAGTTCTACTTTTCCTTGGAAGGAGACTGGGGTGGGGCAGGAGGGGAGGGAGGGGAAGGGAGGGGAGCGGAGACCAGCCAGCGAATCTCTTTAGGAGTGGGAGGCGTCCTTTGAAGAACTGATCTTTCCCAGAGGACTAAAAGAACCCACATCCCACCCTGCTGTGCCGGGGCTGTTGGGGGTGCAATTCCTCTAATCTGTTTTTGCCCAATTTAACAAGCAACTTGCAAAGGTTTTTGCTTTACTCTTCACTATTCCTCTGGCTGCTGACCATGTTTCTTATCCCCCTTCCCTCAACTCACAAATCTGCCTTCCTTCCTTCCTTCCTTCCTTCCTTCCTTCCTTCCTTCCTTCCT